TCTTATAATCATTGGTATACTTTTAGGTGGAAAAGACTACTCCAGACAACACATTTTCTTTGTTGAGTAAATATGCTGCCCAAAATGTCTTTGTTTGGTGACATCATCGCACCTTGCACAGAAGTGAGGGCCAACTGCCGGCTGTCACGTCTGGGAATCATGTTTACGAACGTCAGATTTGAATTACTCGACAATGATATTGTTTACCCTAGTCGCTCCATGGCTTATGGCGTGGCAGGATTTTAGCGGCGTTATTATGACGTCATGGATGTCTGGTTGGCCTTGGAGCAGGTGACGTGAACAGGTGACGGACGAACGGGTCCATTATACCGCCGCGAGTATGTATGTACCTGAGTACCTTTCCGTATACTATACCTGCTCCGAATAATTCCGGCTTGGCCCCAGCGTTAGAAGCAAATGAAATGTAAAAGTACATACTGGGTGTTTATTAAAAGAGAAATGGGGTCGATGCGACTGCTTCCCCTTCCCCTGCCGTTTCCAAGCTACAAGCGATAGGATCTCGCGGAGAAGAAGCGTTGGATTGATCTCAACGAGGTCGCACGATTGGTAATAACGCGTTTAAATGGATACCAATCGTGCGACCTCGTTGAGATCAATCAAACGCTTCTTCTCCGCGAGGTCCTATCGCTTGCAGCTTGGAAACGGCAAAGGAAGGGAAACCAGTGGCATCGACCCCACTTGTCTTTTAACACGCGCTCGGGTAGGGGTGTCAAATTAACCCCCCTCGAAGATTTTTCCCGAATGGTTTCCGAACGGCGGAACGTAGCTACGCCAAGTTCTGCATGGCTGTAGAGAACTGAATAGCGAATCGCTTGGTACCAAAAATTCAAAATTATCTTCTAAGGTCGCTGACCTATGGCAGGTTAAATTCAGACCATGCTTTCAGCGAAGTCAATTTCTAAGGAATCGTCCAATCTGATGCATCAACGGATTGCTATACGAAGCCATACATCTCCGAGATGCTTTCTTAGGCAACACAAATATTTGATGAGCAAATAAGTTGACTTAAGGTCAGGTAAAAAGGCTAGACCAGTTCAAAACAAATCTGTTCTATTGTTCTAGGGCTTGCTGTGTGGCGTATTTTCCGGTGCTCATTTTGAATTCACTGATAGCAGGAACCGCATAATACATCTTTAGACTTCTTAAAAGTCATAATGGGTCATTGACCTAAGACGACCCAGCTCGACATTAAAAAAACATAATGCCCAGCGCCATCTTTGTCCCGTATTGAAATGCAAAACTCAGGGCAGTCTTGTATGATTTTGGTCACCATGACCTTCAAAAGGTCAAGCAAGGTCATTGACCTTAAAAGAGCTGATGACCCTTTGCTAAGAAACAGTTATCTAGGTTCTGGGAACACTTTGGAGACCATCCTGAAATTTGGCTTTGTTTGACCTTATTTGACCCAAAAGTCATGACATAATGACCTTAAACTTTGACCTGAGTGAGTTCACGTACAGGTCAACACACGCTACAAACTTTGTGCCTCTAGCTTTCTTAGTTCCCGAGTTCTTAGGGGGGGGGGGGGGGGCAAGTTGACCCGCCACCCAAGCAAAGGGTATCTAGCCCGCCACCCGGGCGCGTGTTGATTAACACCCAATATGTATTTTTACATTTCATTCCCTTTTAACGCTGGGTCTAAGCCGGAATTATTCTAAGCAGGTATAGTGTACGTAAAGGTGCTCAGCCACATGTATGCTCGCATCGGTATGATGAACCCGCTCGTCCGTCACCTGTTCACGTCACCTGCCCCAAGGTCAACAAGGCATCCATGACGTCATATTAACGCCACTTAAATCCTGCCACGCCATAAGCCGTGGGGTGATTAAGGTAAACAATATCATTGTCGAGTAATTCAAATCTGGCTTTTGTAAACATAATTCCCAGACATAACAGCAGGCAATTGGCCCTCAGTTCTGTGCAAGGTGCGATGATGTCACCAAACAAAGACATTTTAGGTAGCATATTTACTCAAGAAAAAAGCAATGTTGTCTGCAGTAGTCTTTCCTACTTAAAAGTACACCAATGATTGCAAGAGAGTATATTTAATCCCATCTGATGTTTGTTTCAATACGTTCAACTGTGCGCGACTCTCTTTAGTGCAAGTTGGCTGTGCAGATTGACAGTGCAGAACTGCGCTAGTTTTTGCGGACTTGATGGAGGGATCCGTCTCCAAGGTTATGCGACTGCACCTGCTTTCTGCACTCACTTATTTGTCGACGTATGGGACAGTCCCTCCGTCCCCCGTATAGTTGATATAAGAGCTGAATTAAGACGTTAAATGATAATGACTTCTACATGAATTATTGGGTTGATCTATGGCGACGTATCGATAAACGCTTGGGAATGCTGCTGAAAGCTTCCACGGCGGTAATTTACCCAGACACTGCATCGAATTTTAGATGCTTTCAGTTGTGCAGAAAGCATAGTAAGCTGGAGTTAGTTTTGAGGGAAGGTGGAAAGTGAAAAATTTGTCCGCAAAAAGATTTATCAGAAGTGAAAATCAAATCAGAAAAGACGAAGCAGTGAATGAGATGTACCGGCTAATAAGAGCATGAATGCTAATTCGACCTGGAACTAAAGACATAAACATTACAAAAAGTCATTTTCTGACCTCCACGTCGTTGTTAGGTCTTGTTAGCAAAATTTACAACGTTTACTATAAATCATATTTTATAGTGAAGCAACAAGTGCCACCAAGTACGTCTGTTGGTGGCTTTCAAGGGCATGTTTCTCCCTGTCTTCCCCCCAAAATCTAAAAAGTGGCAGTTTTGACATGACTTGTAGGCATACTGGATGTCATAACCGACCCACAAAGAAGAAGCGTCGCTTCTATTCTCTAAACTACAAGGTTGAGTTGTGAGCTATGAAACGAGACTTTGCAATTTGAGATATGAGCGGTTTTAAAGCACTGAATTCCGCTTCCAGAATGGTTGCCGTGTTTCTCACCAGTGTTTTCCAATATTTGTCGTATATGCGCTGGACTATTTGTTTCCTGATGACAGCACCCCTACCGTAACTGGAAAGTTCTGGGAGTCATGCATTATGCAGTGCTCATTCATGTTCATATTTTCTCCTCGCCTGTGAGCATGACATTGGATGCTCACAGGTGGAAAGATGGCATGGATGCAATTATGGTATATTTCATTGCTGTTTTTTAACTCTGAATTGTAAAACTGGCCTGATAGACCATTAGCACAATCACGATATACATTTAAATACAGGCTATGGAGGCAGACAGCTTATCTTGCATGCAGCCTACGTTGATAGTAGAAACCATTGTAGTTAGTGTGGTGGTGGAATACTGAACAATTTCCCGTGCATGATTAAAGGAGGAAGCTATGCATGGGTCATGGCCAATAATCAGAGTTCAGAGAAGGTTTTGTGTTACAGTTAGTTATTTTCTCATAGCTTTACGTGTAATTTTACGGCTAGAAAGTTTGGTTGGGGGAAGAATGAGAGTTAATGGGGCCCAACCCAACATCGATATTGAGTAGGGCCCCAGAGAATAACTTGAATTGATGCTCCTGCACTATATATGAGACCGTCACGCATAACCCCGTATTTTCATGCTACTTGCATGCAAAAGGCAATTTGGCATGCTGACTGAATTTCTACCAATGTTTGTATGCTGGTGTCATTCTCCTACAGAAGTTGGTGTTTTCATTATCTGAAGCGCGGATTTTTACACCAGCATGTATAAAATAAATAAAAAGGAATGGTAATCAACAATCTTAATTATTACCCTTATTCACCGGTTTTCATAACGAGGGCTATTGTGGGAGGGGGATTCCCTGACGTTTTCAAACTAAGAGAGGTAAAGCCTCGCAAAAAAACACCAAAGAAACAGTGAACTGTCTAACAAGGTCCCGCGATTAGTTAGAAGTCCCCAGTTGTTCATAGATCCCACTAGGCTACGTCGAAGGTCAAATTTTCATGGAAAACAAGCACCAGCTTTGCATGTTCATATATACAAAACATGCAGTGTAGTGACATGGAACGTAAAGAAGCGTGTCCCCTGTTCAATTATAAATACAATGGCATGCAGTTTCATTTATTCCGAGCTTCTATTTATAACGTACGGTTTCGTTTATGTACCAGTGTCAACCCTCCGCGCGTAGTTCGCGGAATTTTCGCTCGCCGCCCGCCTCACCTGCCGACGTTGAATCGCCTTGCAATGCTCGTAAAAAACTGCGCTTCTCTGAAACCACAATTACTAGGGGCACTTTTTTGGTGTCAGCACGCGTGCAATGGATGCCCCAGGGGCTGCTAGAGCTTTTGAGTGAGACTGCGCAATGTACCGCATTGGTATCTTCAGAAAACTGTAGGATTGGGGGTGTCGCATCACCCCCTCCCTCTCCCGTCAGGGCGAGCAGCTGGTTCAGAAAGCGCTAGTTGCCTGTTGTAGGGTTATTAACAAATTTCAATGCGATTTGCTTGTTAGCCACGGTGAAAGGCGCCCACCAGGCAACAAATGTCGCGCCAAGCTTGGATCATGCCTAGGGCGTGCTTTGAATACTTAGTGTTCCAGTCTTTTTTCATGCAGGGCAGGCATTGATGTGAATCTCCAAGCTCGTGGGCCAGTAGATGTTTTTGACGTCCTGATGGATGTCTTCCTGGAATGAAATTCCCCTTGATGACCTACCATGAGTCTCGGTTTTTCTAACCGTGTTTTTTCCAATGCTACAGAAACGGCTTACACCATGCGCACTACACGGATAATTCGTAAACTGGTTACGTTTGGGCTAGTAGTCTCTTAGCGTGCACTTTTGATTCGCACATGTTGCGTAAATGCTCCAGCAGCTGTCCACAGTGTTGCCTCGCTTCTCTAAACAGCAAAGGTTTGCGCGCCTCTGCATGACTCAGGCTCTGGAATTTCCAGGCTGTAGCCCGCGGCGCACACAGTTGCGCCATCTCGTCAGTTGGGTGGCGGCATGAGCGGCGATCGGGCCATGGAAGGCGTTTGTTCCAACCTACAAATGGGTGTCGGTGCGCGCGCGCAACTCGGGGCTGTGCTCCTGCTGACGCTGACGGCGTGGCTGGCGGACGCCGTTCCCACAGCCAACAGCAACCGGCCGGACATTCTGCCGACGGACTGCGGCCGCCGCACCGTGCGGCCGGACGAGGCGCTCCGACCGTTCATAGTCGGGCCGGGCAACACCACCGCCTATTATGGCCAGTACCCGTGGCAGGCGCGGCTGGTCATGTACGATGCCAAAGTGAAGGGCTACGTACATTACTGCGGAGGCATCATTGTCTCGCACGAACACGTGGTGACGGCCGCCCACTGCGTGGTTGAGGTGGCCCCACATCGGCTGCTAGTGCGTGTCGGAGACCTCCGATTTGACGACCGCGAGCTGTTTGAGCAGGAGTTTGCCGTCGCCAGCTACCATGTGCACAGCCGGTTCGGCGCGGGTGCTGGCCTCCGGCACGACGTGGCCCTGCTGCGGCTACGTCGCCGCGTCGGACCCGGCATCGAGTTCGGCCGCTACGTGCAGCCGGCATGCCTGCCGGCAGCCGGCGCCGAGTACGAGACGTTTCTGCTGTGCGAGGTGTCCGGCTGGGGGCGCATGGCGGACCTCGCGCCCATCTCGGAGGTGCTGCGCGGCGTCTCGGTGCCGCTGGTGTCGGACGCCTTCTGTGGCGCACCCGAGGTGTACCAGGACCGCTTCCTGCCCGGCGCTATGTTCTGCTCGGGCCCGACGGGTGGCGGCGCCGACAGCTGCGAGGGCGACTCGGGTGGCCCGCTGGTGTGTGGCGACGAGGGCAGCGGCCGCTTCGTGGCTTATGGCGTTGTGTCGTCTGGTGATCCGCTTGGCTGCGGACGACGACCCGGCCTCTACACTAAGCTGTCGGCCTACGTTGGCTGGCTGTTGCGCCGCCTTGAGCTGGACCAGGAGGGGGATGCGGCCCCGAGCACGACAGTGATCGCAGCTAAAGATGCCGCCGACCGGCCTCAGGGTGACTTAGGCCGGCCTTGTTCCACCCCGGATGGTGCGGCCGGCTTTTGCCTTCACTTGCGAGACTGTCCCGACCTGCTGCCGGCGGACGGCGAGGACCTGTCAGTGACGCTAAACCGGCCTCTCTGCGGCCTGGATGCGGCCAACACACCGCTGCTCTGCTGCCCTGGCCAGAAACCGCGCCGCGTCGGCTGCGGACGGAGCAGGTTTTCGCCACCGTCGCAGCTGGGCGCTGCGTTCGCCAAAAACGCCGCCAACTTTCCTTGGATGGCGGCCATCTACGAAAGGCGAGAGGGCGGTGGAGGTACGGCGTTCTGCGGGGGCGCCGTGATCTCCGACCGATGGGTGTTGACGGGGGCGACCTGCGCTCGTGATGACCGCCAGCTGAGTGTGCGCTTCGGTGACCTCGACTTGCAGGACACCTCTGACGACAATCCTAACGCACCTCCGTTCGAGCTGGACATCATCGAAGTTGCGCGGCATCCCCAGTTTGCGCCGCCGGAAGACGGAGCTCACGACATTGCCTTGCTGAAGACTGCATCACAAATTTCGTTCTCCAGCACAGTAGGCCCTATTTGTCTACCAGATGCATCCCTTACGTCGACTGTGCCAGCGGGTAGTGACCTCATCTTTGCGGGCTGGGGCGCGCCCAGATTTGGAGACAACACTGCGCTCTTGTCTCTGAAATGGGCCAGGGTGAGGGTGGTGGATTTCGGAGATTGTAGAAGCAATTACACTAAGGTCCGAGCACACACCCAGTACTTTAATGCAGGCTCGTTTTGTACGAAGTTTATTGAACCAACACCGGAGTTCTCGTGTGCTATCAATGTGGGCGATCAGGGTTCCGTTTTCATGGAAGTTGTCAGGGAAGGTAACATCGCGAGGTGGTACGCAGTGGGGCTGACTGTTGGTGGAGTCGGTTGTGGCAGCGAAGAGTTTCCGGATATCAACATCGCCCTTGGACCATCACTGGACTGGATCCAATCAATCATCACGGCGCCATCATAAATGTTGCCTTTAGTTGCCTGTGCCATTGATCAGTGCAACCGCACAGCCACACCTCGTTTTTTCAGCAGATTTCTAGTGCGGTGCATCGTATGAACTGAGCTCTGTTACGCCGGCTTTTATGTGAGCAGACGCCCAATACATGTCAGCAGTCAGCAACACTATGTCAGCCGCAAACGCTATCTCGACCATAACGGATCCTCCTGGTGGGTATCTAGCATATCCGCGACCGGCGATCAGGAGGCAGGAGCTAGACGACCGCCGCAGTGCTGATGAGCAGAGCACAGACACACCACTGCCAGAGTACCTGGCGGTTCAGCGTTACAAGCTGGACTCCGACAGGAAGCCGCTCCCATTGGGAGGCGTTTCCGCTGAAGTGTAACCCGTTCCAGTGTCAAAAGGCGTTCTCCAAGCTAATGTTTCCGAAAGCTCTGAATATGCTCGTACACCAACGGCAAATAAAGCGGTCAGTTGTTCGCGATCAATGAGCTTACACTTGGCGCGAGAGGTCAGGGTTCTTTCAGCGCCGCTGTTACGGTAACCTGCACCAAATAAAAATTTATAAAAATGCGCCGTATGTTGACGCCCGCGCGGAATAAGAGAGGATGGAGTCGTAAAGGGGATGGAGAGACACGGCGTCACTGCTCACACATTCAATGCATTCATATATATACATATGATTTCACTAAGAATTAAGCAAGAAACACGTTTGTATTAGTTGTATGCTGTTAAGCTGCATCACGTTAACATGTGTTGCAATGCTGATGAACATCATTTCTAGGAAAAATTGTCATTTGGTTGGTCCTAGTGGGACAAAATATGGACCTAGATACATCAACCGGCTACCAACCGCGAGATCTCGATCGAGTCAATCCGCTGGATTGTCGGCAGGACTGTTTCTTTCGTAGTTTGGTGAAGACAGGGGTCATATCTAACACTTGACATTTTCGTGAAACTCAGCGAATTTTGGGCGAATTTTAAACAACGCATTACGCTGGGGTATCCGAATACGCGTTTAAATAACGTAACAAAATGGTGCGTTTGAATTAGGCGCGAATCCACGACATGCCAGAGAGATATCTTTCGAAAACCTTTGGGGGTCTCATCGACCTCCTATACCCCTACCAGGCGAGGAGGTTAACTACCTACTGGTTGCAACTAGTTAATCAACTTCTTACCGCACAAGAAAATGATATAGCCCCCACCTTGTTTCGTTACAGAATACTGCCGGAATCCCTCATCGGCTCACATGTGCGAACCTCGCCTTCTGGAGTCGCTGTAATAATTCTTACAACGGTACCCTCCGTGGGCAAATTCACTGCCGCTGCTCAGGATCAGTTGCCCATGGTCATCTTAGCAAACACGCTTCTGTGGCCGCATGTCAATCCCCCAACGGAAAAAATCAACCAACTTTTCCGGCAGCCCAAGCCCGACTTTTTCCTTTTTTCCGGTCATTTCGGGATCGGGATCGGGGTCGGGATCGGGGCAAATGATCCGGCCATTCCGGATCATTTCCCGACTTCCACCTCCTGGGAGTCGCGAGAAGGCAGCTGAAGAGCGAGTCTCACGTCCTGCTAATCGCGAATCCATCAACGGTACCCTACACGTGCTACTGCTACACCCACCAGCGGCCAGAGGCGTGCGAAAATACGTCCCACCTCATCTGTGAGTCGCGGAGAGATTGACCAACAGCCAACTCCCAAATTTCTATAGGGAGTGAGATATTTCAATCCACGGCTAAACAACTGCCTATGTACTACGTAGGACTTTCTCCATCGCTCCCCGTGAGGGGTCCTAACGCAAAAGCGTATGTGACGCGTTTAGACCGCGGTGACAAAAATTCTTTCATTACACACGTGGGAAAGTCACAGTCGCCCCAAGCTGTACGCAGTTTACGGGCTATGCAAGATAGTTGATTTGACACACAAACGTTGGTCTGACCACGATACGTACACTCTCATGGCACAAAATACAGGACGCACACCATCGATCTGCTATTTTCCTCCAGACTGTCCATTGAAACGTATATAGAAATGCCAGGCAGGGGTCGGTACGTCATATAACAACACACAATAGCCACAGATTTATGTATTGAACATGCTAATTGCTGTGATACGACGTAAGCGCCAAAGTGATACAAATAACTGATCGCAATTAATGCGCGAGCAGGCAATCTCAAAGAGACCTACGGAACGCATATTCTTAATTATCTAAAAGGAGAAAAAGGGATCTCAGAATCGCCGAAGGGTCGATTCCCTCGCCTGCTTACATTTTGCCGAGGGGAAGGCGTCGAGTGTCCAGCCGTCGACGCACCCGGCCGGTAGGGCTCCCACACCGTGCCCGCCCCACTGTCTGAACGTTCCCGTGTGCTGTTTGAGCATGCTCCGCATTGGCTGAACGTATGCTACTTCGACGAGGTCGGTGTTTTTAAAGGCCCGGTCCCCCTGTTGGTCGTACTGGCGTGCATGTCCGGAATGAGCACTCGGGCCAAGCGTAGTAAACAAAAACCGTACTCGCACATTGAAAAAACAGCATGTGGCCCCGCGGTGGATTGACACGCCGCGCGCCGCATTCGAAACTAACCTATTCAATCCTGTTCCCGGGATTATAAAAACACACACGTCGTACGAATGACCCAATTGCACTAAAAACATAGCATGTGGCCCTCGGCCGATAAATACGCCGCGCTCCGCATAACCATAAAAAACAGTACATTTCAGATCGGGCTCACTTTTTTGGGCTACAAATCACACAAACACTCGTCCTGATAGGGGATGATCCATTCCCGCGAAGGTACGGTGAGGATACCCCTTTAACGTGTTTTGCGATCACGTCCAAATTTCCGGTAGCTTATAAGCATCCATTGGGCGTATTTTGACACCAGAAACGCGTGTCTAGCTTTTCTGATTTCGGAACAGTAGTAGTTAGAGGAACACTGCACGGCGATCTACGGCCGTTGCGGGCGGCGGGCGGCAACCAGCGATGTCGCGGAATGCACTGCCTGCCGGCGATGTTACATTGGCCAAGTCATGTTTCATATGTAAATGTATACGCACACACACACACACACACACACACACACACACACACACACACACACACACACACACACACACACACACACACACACACACACACACACACACACACACACACACACACACACACACACACACACACACACACACACACACACACACACACACACACACACACACACACACACACACACACACACACACACACACACACCACACACACACACACACACACACACACACACACAGATATATATATATATATATATATATATATATATATATATATATATATATATATATATATATATAATCAAAACAGTAAAAGAATATCGGCGATTTTACTCAGCAGTTAACAATGAAAATACCTGTTTAAATTTTTTAAGTCCTAACTGGGCATGCTCTCGTAGGTGTGACGCGAAGTAAAAAAAAAGTGCGATTTTCCGGTAAATTCGATTTTTGGCCTGCCATAATAGGGGCAATTGTTTTTTTCTGTTATCCTAAAAACATGCAAGGTAGCATCAATCGGAGACCTCGCTGAGACTAATCCATTGGTGTGTTTCGCTAAGATCCATCTTCATAAGTTTAGAAACGCCTGGGGGTGGTGGGGCTCGCATTCGCCCTCTGTTAGTCCGCGGCATGAAAATCCGTGTGCCAGGGCGACGGTTAAGGAGGGAAATCAGACCATTTGCGATTTGTGGGAAACAGGTGTGAGCGTTGTTTACCTCTGTAAACACCAGATACAGGGAATCTCACAGGGAACCGTAACTCGTTGAGACGCTACGTCATAGGCTGCAATGATCATCAGAATTTGACCCCGCAAGGGACCCATGATGGCAGGCAGGGCGTGTCGTCGCGCGCCCATGCGCTACCACTCTATTGCGGTGATCTGGTACGGATCGGGCGTATTTTCATACAGACTGTTTACTTCGCCTTGCTGTTGAAGGCAAGGCTGATGTAGAAGGGTAGAGCTAAACTTCACTGCCCAGTAAACACGGCGGCTAGCTGGAGAGGGCTGGCCCGGCGCGCAGAGCCGGGCGCGGTCGGCAGCGGGGTGTCGGTGTATGGTGCGCGGCTGCAATCACCGCTGCAGGCGGCGGGCATCCCCGCCCGTTTAACTGAATTAGCGCCGGTGGGTGGCACCACGGACGCAGACAAGCGGGGTGCAAACGGGTCGCACCAGTCTGTTATATATTTGGCACTGGTGCAGTGCGCGCAGATGCTCAGTAACATGCAGGAACGCAGCGAGAATCTTACCAAGGTGGTATCGGAGCCATAAGCGCGGAATCAGGTGGAAGGAGGGGTTAGGAAGGAGGAGCGTTTACCCCACACAAAAGGTTGGACGGGGAGCGACGCTCCCCCCCCCCCCCCGCAGTCTAGGCGTG